CTCATTTTATCAATGTTTCCAATACCGATCAACTTCCGATCCAGACATGTTAGCAGTGTTAACTTTTGTCTCGTTCAACCAAACACTTGATTACTTGTAAATCAAGAGTCTGGTCTAGCACAGTACCTTAAAATCACCATCACCAGAGGGCAATGGTTTTACTTTCGTTTCCGGACCTTTCATTCATCACAAATGCCCTAGACAAACACAGCAGGACGCTAAGTCCTCTTCAAGTACTTCCTTGCCACCGGATAACTAAATTACGCTCTCGAACTCGAGTACCTACTCTTTGGTTCCTCGACAACAAAACATTGGGGTTATAATACTAGAATAAATACGTGAAACTAGGTGGAAATGGACCAGGATGAATTGTACTTAAATTATGACAACAAAACAAATTGAATGCTAGCACAATGTTGGGTGAAAAAGTTCTTAGAGCTAGAAAACTGGTTGCATTTGAAATTTAAAATCCAGATTCACACATTTGGTATGCCACCAGACTGGTAGTAGTCCAAGGGTAATATAAGTATACCAACACACCGGCGACCTGAGGACTGGTCAACACTGTACTACCCGACTGACATGTATACATACTTTCTACTCACAATCTAGGTATACCAACACAATGGTGGTCTGGGGACTGGTCAGGGTGGAGTACTAGACAGACAACTACGCACACTTTATACTCACAATATAGGTATATCAAAACACTAGTGATCTGATGACTGGTCAGGGTGGACTACAAGACTGACACGTATTCACACACTATACTCACAATCTAGGTATACCAACACAATGGTGGTCTGGGGTCTGGTCAGGGTGGACTACTAGACTGGCCTGTATACACACTGTCTACTCACAATCTAGGTATACCAACAAACTGGTGGTCTGATGACTGGTCAGGGCTGGATTACTAGATTGACATGTATTCACACTTTTTACAAAAATATAGGTATACCAACACACTGGTGAGCTGATGACTGTTCAGGATGGACTACTAGACTGACGTGTATACACACTATACACTCACAATCTAGGTATACCAATTACTGGTGGTCTCAGGACTAGTCAGCGCTGGACTACTAGACTGACATGTATACATACTCTATATACGTACACTCTGGGTATACCAACACTCTGATGGTCTGAAGACTGTTCAGGAATAGACTTTCACTCTATACTCACAATCTAAGTATATACACACTGGTAGTGTGAGGACTGGTCAAGGCTGGACTACTATACTGACATGTAGACTCACTTTTTACTCATAATCTGGATAAACTGACACACTGGGGGCTGAGACTAGTGAAGGAAGGACTACTAGACTGACATGTATACATACTCTATACTCACAATCTGGGTTTACCGACTCACTGGTTGGCTGTAGACTTGTCAGTTATGGACTACTAGCCTGACATGTATACACTCTCTTTACTTACAATCTGGTTATACCAAAACAATGATACTCTGGGGGCTGGTCAGAGCTGAACATGTGTAAATACAAAGGCTAGTAATAAAGCTAATGGCAAAACAAATGTCTAACTAAAACAGATTTGGTTAAAGAAAGTCAAATGAAAAAATGAAACCCTTCATTTCACCATTATAGTGAAGTGAAACCCCCCTGCCCAACCCTCTATTTCTATACCCCAGACTGATTTTCTATTATTCATATATAAATATAAATAGCAAAACAAATTAAAATAAAATAAAATAAAAATACTGCAAAAACAGTTGGTCAGAAAAGAATTGTTGGTAGCCTTCATTTCACCATGGGTCGGTTCATATGACCATAATGGTGAAATGGACCGTTGTTCATATCACCATGGGCCTCATATTACCATACTACACCGGAATACTAACTATTTACAGATGTGCATGTAGACCAGGATGTTCACTAACAATATATATGTAATGTGTACATTCACCCTGTATATCTACTATTACATACCCGGGTGTATAGGGATATACAAGGACGTTTGTAAACGTTATATCGGAATTTACGTTGGTTGTGTATACGGCATGATGTCTGACATTTACTTACAGAAGCAAAGTATTTTTGTTTCTCATCTTGTACTCAGCTTCTACTTGTTGATCTTACTACTTACAATCCAATCAACAGGTTTGTTGTGTTGTATTCCCACTTTAGAACAAAAGTTCTCGGTCAAACAGTTAAAAGAAAAGAAGAGAAAATATCAAACTGACATAGAGCTAATAAAGATGGTTCAATGTAGGGCAAAAAGATCCCTCTGGTTTCTTTACAACATTTAGTAAATGGATTTTGACTCGCTTGACGTATACCCATTAGTTAAATAATATACGAAGTGTGTGTGGAATATGCTAAGGATATCCAAAGACGACACTTATTGTACTTGGCACCCTGATAGATACGAATACATGAACTCGTTCCAGGTTTTTTTTACTTCTTTTTAACCCAACATCATCTGATGGAAGGCTTTTCAAATCGACCGTCGTACGTCTTCAGTCGTCCGTCGTCCGTCCTTAAACACGTCTTATGTATTTTGTATGTATTGTGTAGGTACGTCTTGGTCCTTAGTTGTGCATGTTTACTTTTGTGACTTTCAGATAAACAAAATGGCCGACAGACGTTAGTGCTTTTTCTCATGAATCACTCGAGGGATCTTTCTCAAATTTAATATCATTAGCGGCATGCCTTATTTTTAGACATATTATAAAAACAAAAAAGCAAAATGAAGAACTAAAAGCGTGCTGATGAGTTTTCAACCGTTCATTGAACGCTGGTATCTTTCCAGGCATTTTGAAAGGGCTAATAGTATTCCAATTTTTAAATCTGGTAAACGTAATGAAGTCTCTAATTACTATATTTTCTACCAATTCTATCTAAAGTTTTCGAAAATTGTTGACCTTTATTTTTCCAATTACAGAAAACGCTTATCTGCGATGAGTAACATAAGTTTATGCCAAAAAGGTATACTGTTTTAAACATAGTTTCACCGATCAGATTTCAAAAGCCTTTGATAAAAAAGCAGAATTACATGCTGTATTTACTGATTTTTCAAAGGCATTTGAGAGAGTAAACCACCTATTACTTTTGCAAAAGCTAAAAATGTATGGTGTAGAAGGTAGCATTTAAGATTGGTTTACTATTTATTTGAAAGACAGATTTCAGCGTGTTACTGTCAATAGGGCAACATCCGGTTGGTATGCTGTAACTTCATGTGTGCCTTTAGGTTCGATACTTGGACTTTGACTTTGTTTTTATCAATGAACTGCCATCTATTTTTCTAATTTTCTAAAACTCTTATGTTTGCAGACAGTTATCTGTTTAAGCATGTAAGAACATTGTCTGAGTGTCAGCAGCTACAGAGCGATATAGATAGAGTATATGATTGGTGCACTCGGTGGAAAATGAAAGTGAATGTACAAACAAGAAGAAATGTATCAATTTAAATTACACAATGAGAACTTGGAGAATGAAATGTGTGTGGAAGATTTTCTTTCAATGAATTTGAGTACCCACATAGGACGTACTGTTTCCAAACCAATGCGAATACTCGGTTTTATAAATCGTACATGTACACGTTTTACACAAATACCTGTTTTAAGGTCTTTATGTATAAGTCTTGTCAGGGGTCAGTTAAAATACTGTTGTCAGAACTGGTCTCATTACCTTAACATATTTTTATCACCAGTTCAAAATTGTGCAGCACACATTTTTGATTTTTTTTTATGTTTTAAGGCACACGTTGACTATAATTCCATGTCTTACGCTGACACTTGCAGGCATTTTTAATATTTCTAGCTTCGAAACATAGGCGGACATTTTTAGACTGTGTATTTCTTTACAAATGTGTTAATAGTGCTTCTAACTGCCCATGTTAAATCAAGCAGATGCGTTTTAAGTCCCTGGTTGTAATCAACGATCAATTCGTTAAAACACTTTTACTGCCAGAGAAGTCGAATAAACGTAAGAAAGGACAGTGTTCAATGTAATTCTAACTATCTTGATTTTGCACCAGGCTGTGATATGCTTTGTTCCTCTCTCGCAGAGTTCACTGTACGGTTAAAGAATATTTGCTATCATTTACTCCATATTTTACATATGAGTATATTTTAGTCTGTGTCACATGCATAACTGACTGTGATATTTTATACTTCTGTTGTATTGTTGTCATTCATTCTGTAAGTTGACTATAGGGTCTGTTGAATTGGAAAAGAAAATTATCAGATATTTCTCATATTGCAAAGATCGGTTATATTTCTTTCACAGTAAGTACTGTACCAGTAAATAATTGAAATGACAAACTCACTTTGAAGGTTGTCTTTTAAACACAGAAGTATTAAATTTAGATAAAAATTAACCCGATGTACATTTATTGTTAACATGCCTCGATCAAACAGATAACAGAAAAGAAGAGAAAATGTCAATCCTACAAAGAACTAATGAAGATGGTACAATGATGGGCGCCAAGATCCCTCTGGGATATTATTTTTTTTTGACCTCTTCTTTATAACCAAATGAATCAGAGTGATGCTATTTGGCCAGAAGCATGCTGTTATAAAAGGCTATGAAATATGTTCAACTTTCAAGGTCACAGGGGTTATATGTTTAAATCTTTTAATAGGTTCTTTTGAATCAATTACTAATATTTTGCCTGTGGCTGTATTTTAGTTCACGTTTAAGATTATACGTGTGAGATTCATACCAGGTGAACAATGCAGGCCCATTGGGCCTCTTTTGAATTTGAATTTGAAATCAACATCTTGATACAGAAAAGGCAAATTATTATGTTACTTGGCTGGTAGCATGCTCGTATGAAGGGCTACACAAAAGTGTGTTCAAATTAATCACCAATAAAAAGCCGTTTTGCATATATGTACTATTTGATTTTGTCACATCACAGCAACAAATAATAATGACTTTTTACATGAATTACATATGCATTGAACATCATATTTAGCGTTGCTGTGTTTATTTTAGTTGATATATATATATATGAATATATATTTATTTGCAGATTCTCAATCCCTTAACATTTGTTCAAATGCAAAGGCAGGATCACCATGCAAACTTACATGTACAACTCAAGATGTAACCCAGACAATTATTTTCTCAAAATTGCCAGCATCAGGAGGTCTAGAAGGAGGATGTACAAGTGGTGGGACATGTGCGGTTACAGCTGGGAGGACCAGGTATACTGTAACACAGGATTCTACATTAAGTGAAACCTATTTGGACATATCCAGCCTTACGTATGCAGAGGATGATTCCCAGCGGGTCTGTGATTATGGAGCAGTACGGTCTACAGCTGTTCAATTAACTGTTATATGTAAGTAACATCATTAACAATGTTCACTTCAAAACGGTGTATCTTTCTGCTGCCTCATTCAGTATACACTAAATAGAAAACCAATACCTGCATTTCACATGCTTACATTTTATGAAATGAATATCAACCTCACTGCTACAGTTGTGGTATCACACATGTACAACACACCGACTTTGTTGGACACACATCGTCTACACATGGTACAACGACCACGTGATTTACCGATCAATTGCCCTGTTGGCACATATGTGTGATATGGGAAGATATGTTGATCAATGTTATGGTATAAAAAAGAAATCTGAAAGTGAAATATGGTACAATGTATATGTGATTCATATATCCGATAGGTATATTTTGTACTTTATCTAATTTGTCAATGTACGTTATTTGTTTTTTTAAATGACTGTAAAACTATCGACAATGGGATTATTTATTCTGTCGTGTTCAATACATACGTACTAGTATATATACGAATTATACTGAATTGATTCGATCGTTGATAATAATTCACTTAAGGATTGAATATTGCTTTGGTCGATTTCATGGGGTGATTAATTGAGTTGATCTTGAAACAAATTTAATAAACTGCGAGCAGTTCATGTTGAATTTGTTCCAAGACCAACTCAATTCATCAACCAATGAAATCGAAACAAAGCAAGATTCCTTATATTTCAATTAACGTGTTTTTTGCAATAATTAAAACTTGTAACGTCCATTATGTCGTTTGTCCCAGGATCTGGAGCTTGTGCAAATCTACGTAAGGGCTACCAAAATAGTTCAAATGAATGACCCTGGCCTATATTTAAGGTAACAGGGGTCAGATATGTTTTAAACCTTGAAACATCTTCTTCTGAAAAACCAAAAATCCAAAAATGTTGATATTTGATCAGTATTTTTTCATTTAAGTGACCCACTTTCAAGGCACACTTGATCAAATGCGTATAATGACGTTAAACAAAAGGTCTACGATGAGTCTGCAAAGTTGCATGCTGATATGAAGGGTGTTTAGTTAGTTCAAATTAATGTTCTTGTTCGACGTTCAAAGTCACAAAGGGAAAATGTGTTTAAATCTTTCAATATATTATTTTGCGTCTAATACAAGGTAAGCAATACAGGGCCATAGGGCCTCTTCTTTTCGGAAACTTGAAGTATATTACACTGCAACGGATTAATGCTGTTTGAGTAAGAGGGCTGTAATCGTCTGAGATGAGGTAAATGTACATGCATCGCACTGAAGACTCAGTCCTGAACAAATATAAACTTCCAAATCGGTGACTAAAATAATTGTTCTCATCAGGGTCGGATGATTGGATCCAGGGCTTTCAGCGGTCGCCTTTCACCCGATTTTTGGATAATTTGTCAGATGTGTATCCTTTATTGTATTGCATGTCAATGGGAAAACCCTAACCCTAATCCTAAAACGTTGGAGTTTTGGGGCTTGAACACTTATTCAAAAGAAACTGCTCCAAGTGTTGTAAATGTACATACGTTTTCATATAAAAATCAGTCTTTGGTAACTTGTTGGTATCTACGTAAAATCACCATGCGATTGTGCAGTAGTACTATCGGGCCGACAACAACTTCGTTTTCAGACATAAATCTAAAACATTTCTAGATGGCATTGAAACACACAGGTGTGGTAAGATGGCTAAATGTTAGACGCAAACAATACTTTTAAAAAGATACATGTTGATACATACACATTACATGGAACATGAGTTATCAAATCTGTCCATGCGTCATTTCCATAAGCAAGCATTGGGTCGTCATTACTTTGTATGCACCAAAGTACACATGAAGAAAAACAATTTACTTCTATTGACGGCTCAGTCGACCATAACACAACAATTAGCGTTGATATGTGGGTATTTTAAATGTGTATGTATTGCATTAACGCTAAATCAAAACCAACAATCCTTTGATTTATGAGTTTAGTTGATGAGATGTCAGTTGCACATGATGCAGAAAAAACAATTAAGATTCTTTGTGTGACAAGGCATTTTGTAACTGTTTAAATAAATAATATATTTTTTCTTTCTTATATCTCTTCTTTTTTTCAAAACATTTGAAGGCGTTAACGGTTAACTGTGTTGAATACTATGGTGACGTTATTTACGTCACATTATATATATTATGATGTAATTGGCAAAAGTTTGGCGAATAAAGGGGCACTAACTTTACATCATTGTCGGGGATATAAACCAAAGAATGTCAGCTCTGTCTACATATTTCATATCAAATTGCATCATATTTACAGCTGTTCCATCTACAGTGCAGTTTGCCCCAGATCCAACAGCAGATTTGACACAATTTTTGGTAGGGGAAGTCTACTGTGTTTATCCAGCTTCCAGTCTGACAGTGAAATTGGTCTACCAAGATGGGGTAGGTACTATAGAACTAGCAACACTATGTATAGCTACTGTGTGCTGGTTCAAACACTATAGTCTCTTGACTGAATTTGGTATGAAAACATTCATTTTCACATAATACCTGAGTGCAGACAGGCATATTCCATAGTGATTGGGGAATTCTTGGAAATACTATTGATGTATACATGGCATACATGCCAGATTTCCAGAGACCAATCTGTGAGTTTAGCAATCTTTTCAAGGTAATTTTCGTTAAAATAAGGGAGGTTTCATTTGAAGTGTTCTTCACGGAAACAAATCTTATCATATAGAAATAAAGTTGATTAAATAAGGAACTGTTTTGGCAGTATTTTTAGCTCACCTGCCCGAATGACTAGTAAGCGTATGCCATAGCGTGGCGTCTGTCGCCCATCCGTCCGTCCGGCATCAGTCGTCTGTCCATCTGTCGTCGTCCGTCAACTTTTCCCTTAAATGACTTCTGAAGAAAAGACAGGCCTAGAGTCATACTATTTGGTATCCTTGTCACAACATCAGTCCATGTTGTAAAACCATGACCCCATCCCAATAGAGACATGATAATTGGACCCAAGAAGAAAAGTATGTTGCTGAGAGACAGAGCCAATATTTGGAAATATTTGTAGTACAGTATAATATTTATTTAATATTTTGCTATGACTACTTAAATATCCGGGTGAGCGAAACAGGACATCCGGACTTCTTGTTCTTTGAAGATATGGTTATATAAAGCAGCTAGCACAAAATTACAAAACAAAATTTAACATAGTTTAGATAAACTGAAGAAGCATATTTTAAATTTCGAAATTTCGTTTGACACAGCGGCCACATTACTACTGATTTTAAATTAAGAAGAAATTAAACTTTGAACTGTTGATTTCGATGCATTTGAAAGGATGGCAGTTGTCTTTGTGAATTTATGTGAGGTACGGTAGTCTAGTGGTAAGATGCTGGGCTCGTGACCGAAGTGTTGCGGGTTCGAGTCACGCCACAGCACTGTGTTGTAACTTTGAGCAAGATACTTTACTCCGCGTGTTTCGGTCTACTCAGCTGTTAATGAGAACGTGGATGGGCAGTGCTAAGGGGAGGGGACAAAAAAGGGGGAAATTTGGTTACAATACTATAAACGTCCTCTTCTGTAAAACTATACACTGGATATCAATTATATTTGGTCAGAAGCATTCATGGGAGGCAGGGATTCAAAAAATTGTACAAAATGTGGGGCTGGCCCCCCTTCGGGCTGAAGGGTTGGGCCAACAAGGTTTTTGTGGCTGTATTGCTTTAATCGACTTCATCTCTGGAACTCAGGGATAAATATCAACTATGTTTGGTGGGAAACATCCCTTTGTGGTGGGGATTAACAATTGTACAAATGGATAGGGTGACCGCCCGGGCTAAGGGATGGGGCCAAAAATAGTTTACAACTTTGATATGGTTGAGATCCCCACCCTATAACCATATATGCAATTGCTGAGTATAAAGCGATGAATGCACATATGCTTTCAAGATGGCCCCACGGTTGTGGTTCCATACTTTGAAACATAGTCCCTTTGATCCTAACTTTAAATCAGTCTATAATAACCATTTAAACAAATGCTAAGTATACAGAGACGAAGGCACATGCTTCCAGAATGGCCGCAGGGTCTATCCAACCATTGGAGACTTAACCCCTGGGTCATAACTTCAAAACAGTTAAAATCCCCACCCCAAAACTATATATACATTTGCTGCGCATAAAGAGACGATTGCAGTCATGATATTATAATTGGCCCCGGTATCTGCCCTACCCCTACATACTTAACCTCTGAGTCGTAACTTTGAAACAGTTGAGATCCCCACCCCAACACTATATATACAAATGCTGGACATTAACAGACAAATGCAGTCATGATATTATAATTGACTTTGCGGTTTGGCCACAATCCTATGGACCTAGTTTCTGAGGCACAGCATGGAAACAGTTAAGATCACCACCCAATAATCATACATATAAATGCTGGGCAAGAACAATTTGATACAGACATGCTATAAGATACGATCGGGGTCTGGCCCATTCACAGGGATCTTGTTTGGAGAATATTTTGCAATGATTGCTCAAATATCCAGTTGAGCGATACAGGCCCTCGCGGCCTCTTGTTATTATTTGCATTTGAACTTCTTGATAATGTATTAAAATATAAAAGCTTGCATTTAACAAAAGGACAGATAACTGTGTTCAGCTTGGACTCTTTTGATGCATTTGTTCAGCTTATTTTTTCCATCTTCTTTGACATGCCCCTTACCCTTCTTTTCACTTTCTTTGTGTTCTTATTAGCTCACCTGGTTTGAAGGGCCATTTCCATGGTCACAAAGGTCAAATATGTTGATAACTTTAAGTAACTTCTTCTGTATAACCATAATCCCTAGAGGGATGATATTTGGCCAGTAGCATGCTGGGTCAATGGTTTGCAAGTTTGTTGAAATGAATGACCTTTGCACATACTCAAGGTCATGTGGTTAATTATCCTATAAAACCTGTGCCGTCTGATTTGCTGTGACAGATACATTTAGCAGTTAAGTTTTATTATGCGGACTTTTTTGATACTGTGTGGGAGTAATGCATAACAAACTTCAAACGCAATACAGAACCACCCAGACAATTTTGGTATTCAAATTAGCAGCCTCTGATTGGGTGTAATATTTATATTTATAGATACATTGACAAAATGATGCACACAGCTTTTTCGTTTCAGAATTGAAAATGACCGTATTACTATTGTTTCCTTTTCTGTAAGTGTTCAGAGACATTGTACATTTTGATTGTACATATAATTCAAACATCTTTACAGCAAACCACTAACACTCTGGACATGACCTATCCAGTACCAACAACTGCTGGAACAAATGGATGTGATGCACATGAATTCACAGTCACTCCATCCTACCAACTCACCACCACTACTTTGTCCGGTAAAAGTGTACGATTCTGGATAGAAGTCACAGTCGCTGGACAGGTGATAGGGAGTATCCCGACAACCCAAACATTTGTCTTTCAAGGTGAGGAATTAATTTTTCAGCTGATATATTGATATTAACCCAGAGCTCAGGAATACAATTTACTATCATCTGTTCATGATTAGTCATTCATCCATCATGTGTTAAATCATCATTGTTTATTTGAAACATGAATTTTCTAATTATTTTATTGAAAACTTAATCTGTTTTTGCGAGGTTATAAGGTGATATTTGAAGTTAGGAAGAACAAAGTTATATTACAAGTATTCAAAGTGTTCGATTACATTATAATCCGAAAAAAATGAAAGTCGATAGCTAAGCTTGCCAGAACTGCTAATTAAAAGTGAGGTTATTACACGGTGCAACATTTTTCTACATGCTCCCTCTCATGTTTCCTACTTCACATGGACAGTTGATATTTATAAATATATATAAAAAAAAAATATAACGACCGATTAAAAACCACTTCAGGTTTATTTCAAATAAAAAGTTTACAGCAGACAATATGACGTTACAGGAACACATGGAATATATCGGGAATCGTGGACGACAAATAAAAGACAAAGTGTAAACAATCATTTTTTTAAGACGTTGTTCAAATGTAAACAAAGGTGGAGGAACAAAAAGGAGCTACGACACCAAAGAGCCAAAATTTAAACAAATATGGTAGAGCGAGTTCTCCCAAAGATAACTTATTTATCTGAAAGAAAATTATCAAAAGATGAAATTGATTTGCTATCAAAGGGTCTAAAATTGTGTTCAACACCAGATTAAAACGATAACGAAGAACTTCAGGCATTCTTAAATTCTGCATAAGACTACGTCAATGCGATAATGTGACGAAGACGGTGAAAGCAGACCGTTGGAAACAACGGCGTTAGTCTAGTACAATTCGCAATGAAACCCACCAATAAGTTTGGACGAATATTAAGAAGACGTCATTGATAGTTTAAAAAATATTCCTTTGCATAATGATAGTCATAAACACGTAAAAAGTCATACAGACAAACATGTGCTTTGGATTAATGGCAATGCAGTAATGGTCATGAATAGAGATATATTTTGTGAATGCATACATAACATGCTTAGTAATGTTGAATTTCATACTTAGGCAAGTGACGAGTTCAATGCAGAATCCCGTAGATTAATCAACGAGATAATACGGACACGTGAAGCATGCCTACATGAAAAGGAGATTATCTTGTCAATTTTATGCATAAAACTAGTTATTTCTATGGTTTGCCTAAACTTCACAAACACTCTATATAAGAACAACACTGTATATATATATTGAAGTTGAAACTCCTACGCATTTGAAGTTTAGACCGATCGTAGGCGGTCCTAATAGTGCAACGCAACGTTTGAGTCATCTTATAGACCTCATTCTGAACCGTTATAAGGTTATACGTGTAAACAGTTATATAAAAAACGATTTTGATTTTCTGCACCGTTTATCTAAACAAGCCACATATAATTCTTAACTTGTTTGCTTTGGTGTTGTTAGTTTATACACTATGCCATTGTGTATCTAGTTGTCGCTGTGAATCTAATTGTCATTATGTTAGTTTTTTAGTCCGTGTGTATCTCGTTATCCGTGTGTATATCTTGTCATCCTTATGTGTATTAAGTCGTCCCTTAATACACACATGGACAATATGATACAAAGAGACAACTAGATACAGACATATACAACTAGATGCGTGTTTATCTAATAGTCTGTGTGTATCTAGTTGTCCGTGTGTATATACTTGTCTGTTTTAGTTGTCCCTGCTTGTAGTTAGTCGTCCCTGTGTGTCTAATTTTCTGTGTGTATCTTGTCCTTGTGTATATAGTTGTCCCTGTGTACATTGGTGTCTGTGCAACTAATTATCCGTGTATATTTAGTTGTCTATGTGTGTATCTATTTGTCCCTGTGTGTATCTAGTTGGCCCTGTGTGTATTAAGTTTCCCGCGTGTACTCTGTTGTCCTTATGTTTATCTAGTTGTCTCTATGTTAATATAATTGTCCCAGTGTATATAGATGTCCGTGTATATTTAATTGTCTGTTCATATATATTGTATGTATCTTGTTGTCTGTGTATAATAGGTAGTATAGTGTCATAAACATGGTTTTGTAGGATCTTTTTAAATCTTTTAAAATATTCATATCTATATATATTGGCCGCCAGTCATTTCGATGAAAACTAAAAAATAACACGGGACGGATATAATTATACAAGGTAGTGTATAGTGAGTCTTCGATTAGGTCGTGACCTATTCCAGGAACGCGTACAGTTTACGTGTGAGGAACCCCGGAGTATGAGGATGCAATACAAAATACATATAATATAAATAATTTATGTTTACACATTTCTAGGGGCTGTTACTTTGAATGGATCAGCCGAGTACGCCATTCATGGGAATGGATATAACTTGACATGTACAGTCCCAGATGAGGCTACCAGAGTCAGTTTTTATCGTCGTCCTCTGATGACAGTATCACCACAGGACATACAAGTGACAGGAGATCAATGCTATATACTGGTCTCTGGTACACCCGTCCTCTGTACCCCGGATGTATGTTCCTGTCAACCTTCTGCGCTTCACTATGCCACTGTGTTCCGGTTGGTATTACAACCGAGACCAGCAGACCATAACTCGATTTGGTTTTGTAGACGTCAGAACTCAAACCTTACTAACGAATACGAAGATAGCACCGACTACACGCTCCAAGTCTTAGGCAAGTTGAATGTGAATGTTACGACTTGTTTATATTCTCGATTTGCTTGAAGATACACAAGTTCTTTTAGTGTCACCCTTTCAATGAAATACTACAAAATTATAACTATAGGAACGCTGATCAAATATAACCAATACCTGCTGAATTTATAACCTTAAATAACATGTATGTGGATTTCTTATATCCAATCGCATATGTTGTCGTGGGAATATGGAAGTCAGTAATGATAACAAAAAGTGTGTTGTGCTAGTCAGTGATGAAGAAAATTATCCCCTGACTTGTTAAGTAGCAGGAACGAATATATTTTGCTAGTGTAAGTCTCTGGCAGGTGAAAAACTCTCAAGCACAGGTCGGACGATGGGAAATAAAAGTCATAGACTGGAACAACGTCATTCTTAAGTAAGCTACTTGAACAATGGTTGTGTCTAATGTGTATTACTGTCAGGAACAATGGCTGTCTATTCTTAGTCAGTGACTGGAAATCGCTCTATACTGTTTGTCATTAAAGAAACAATAACTACATAATGTAAGCCAGGAACGGGGGCAATGTATGGAAAACTTAAGTTACTGACGGGGAAAATTAGTTTTAAGTTTTCGACTTTGTCTTCTGTCGAATGGATGCAACTACGCAAATGTTCAGTGTGTTACTCTAAAGGATATCACTGCATCAATTCTCATCGTGAAAAAGAATTATACTCAGATTATAATCAAGAGAAACCGAAGGATTTGTTTCTTTCTTAGAATTTCTTCCCTTGTAAAGACTTGTATAGAGTTTGCGACCAATACATTTGACAATAATTGCAACACTGCCATGTATGATTACATAGTTAAAGTCTAAGCTTGGCAATGTACAGGTCGTGAGCTAGACCTGTGCAATGTCCCTGTTTTCTCCTCATTTTAACTGTTGTTTTCAAACATATTTCGAGCGACTCTAAATCTGTAAAATGCATTCCAACATGAGATCTTTTGATATTTTGAATTTTTCAAAATAGTGACAATGGCATTTGTATAGTTTTGGTTTCACCTCAATAGAAAAAGATAGGGATAAAATAATATTTCGCACCCTTGTGTTGAAATATGTTAATATCAACAACGAGGTTTTCCCCTAGGTTGAAATTTCCATATATCATTTTGCTTGCTTTTACTCTATTCACCCTCTCATATGCATAATGCAATGTTGGCATTGTAGGCTTATGTATTGTTGGCGTGACGTTCATGGATTTTTTTTACGTGACATCAAACAATTGTTTTGAGTGGAGAATCCCCCATCTCAACACCAGGGTGAGACTATAAGACTCTTCCAAATGTACCGGAGGTGGAGAGATAATTAATTGGTTTTACCCCAATTATTATCCTCGAGGGAGGAATTCTCTATTCACCCAACGTTACATATGGAAGAGTATTTTTCTCTCATATTTACCATTAACAAAAGATACTTCACATCTCAATGCCCACAGACGGTCGCCATATTCCAGTTTATAAATATATTTATCGTAGTTTAAAACAAAACAAAAAAGGAGGAAAAAATAATTTTCCATTCCCTCAAACCTCAAAGTCGTGGCACGCATTTAAACAACACATTTCCATTATAACTCCATGGTTAAGTTGATATGCAACTTTCTATTTCCCATACGGCATTTGATAAACGCCATCTTCGAAACTCATTGTTCCTTATTGTACATCTGATTTAGTGCGCAGAGAAGTATAGCTCCTAGTTGAAAATAGGAAACAAATGATGTTTTTGTTGTCAAATTTGTAATTCATGACTGAACATGTAATTAATTCATGTAAATGGAATTATAGATGCAATTAATAAATACAAAGCCGGGCGAATATTGCATGTCCACCGACAACTGCGCTGACACCACAGCAGTGTGTGCCGATGTTACGTCACATTTGGAATTACACATGCGTGTCACTCGTGATCACCCTGACATTTAACATCACCTGTGCTATTTATGTTTACGTTGTTAGTGCAGTTCGGCGTGTACGCTCCTGAAACTTCTGACTATGATGCTTACTCAATAGCGTAAACAGCAAAACCATTTGTCATTGTTTATGTTTACGGTACACACACTTGTAGCAGACGACGTAAGTTGTTGACATTTGGAGTTGATCCCCTTCGCATTTGTATTACTACGCGATGTGATTAGCCCATGTAAGATAGACTCAGCAATCATGGTTATCTTACACAGTAAGCGTGCATGACCGTAAATGAGAGAAAAGGATATCTCATACCGGGATATTTGAAATACTATGTTGTCAGCTACAAATCAATGATTCGTATATCCAGTAATATTTTCAATCTGTCTCCGTATTTCTGTTCAACAGAAGAAGTGACGAGCATTGTGCTACAGAATCCACCCTCAACTCTGCAAGAACACCAATCTATTTTCCTGGTGTGTGTGACCAGCCCGTGTAGACCTGCTGCCACTGTCCTGTGGTCAGTCGGAGGGGTGAATTACACTTCATTCAGTACATCCACACTACATGGGTCGGGTGTTTCTATGAGCAGACTTACCTTTACAATCACTAGAACAATGGACGGAAAAACCGTTGTTTGTTCTGCGTACAACACGGACGTCGTTGTAACATCAAAAATTCAGCCTATGCTAGATGTACAATGTAAGTTGGGCATTTCACAAAGAAGAAAAAAAGATAATTTATCAATGAATGAGTGTTGCGCATTATTTGCAATTAGCTTAATGATCTGATTATGGGTGATACATAATAAAGTCTATACTGTAGTAAACTTCACTACGTCTGACGACAAATGAATGAGATTGAACTATATTTCAAAGTTAGTCACAAATACAAAGTAGAAATAGTTAAAATAAGCTGCAACCGTTTACATCTTTGCAAATAGCATGTATAAATAACATGAGAATATTTTTCTGTAAGACTTGGAACGATATAAGGCCGGAAACACGCGGTTCTTTTCAATATTGTTTTTGATTAATACATTGTATAATCGTATACCCTTTGCTACGTGTAGATGGTCCTGACACATCCATAGCTCTGTCTCCTGTGGACGTTACTTACACTGTAGACGAAGGGGACACATTACCGGACATCACCTGTACAGCTGGCTGTAGACCTGGCTGTACATTTGTCTGGACAAAACCTGACAACAATAGCTTTACTTCCTCAGCCGTGTTGTCACTGGGACAACTGGATAGATCTGAAAACGGGACATACCAATGTACCGCCCAAAATACTATAGGGACGTCAACTATAATGTTTAGTCTTCATGTTAGATGTAAGTTATGTTCGTTATATATTGAAACATATCCGGGAGGGGGGCTTATGGAACGGTGGGCAAATTTGATAATTTAGACAAAGTGAGGGTTATACGGTGAATAGTAATGCAACGAGTGTTGAACGTCAACGATGAATAACGTATATAAATCATAAGTAAGAAAACAACATTCTGAATTTTAAGAATATACGAGAGAACATTATAGATCAGCTTACAATCTTTAAGGTGATTCAGGTTAATATTTTGTGCAGAATTACACGTATAATACAATATTGTTTACCCATCGGAAACTGTTTTGTATGCCAGTGTTACAGTAAGTGTAGTCTGGGACCAATTAAGTCATGAGATAAACACTCTCATTTTCAGAAATTTTAGAATCCAAACGCTCATGCATATGTCATCTGCTTCACTTCAGTGGCTAAATTGGTTTTCAATAAGTTATGACTTGTAGTATCAAATGCAACCATCAACCAAATATTAGTTGCTCATTTTATACTTATGGCATTGCAAAACACGAGATCGAATTATCAAGTCGATACAATATTATTGTGTGTAAATTTGTAATTCATACAATACTGCACTACCTTGAACAACACCAAATGCAGACATCTGGTAATTAATGAGACCACATGTCAATTGCCGACCGCAATACGGCAATGTTGTTTTCAGTTAACAGTTGGACAATACTGTTCGTAATGATCTTTGAAACATGTTATTTATACCACCTAGTGCATAAAGAATAGATATTGCGATCCATGAGCGACATGTTTGTGAAAGGGACGATTTGTTTCTAAAATATCAGTTTGAAGAGCGACCCTGGCGCGGGTCGCTCATTTCCCGCATATTATAGAGGGCCGGAGTTCTGACGTTAATCGACGACAGACCGATATATAAAAGTCGATAAAACGTCAGAATAATTCGGACTAATAATACACATGCTATTTTATTTCAGGTTTGACGTATGATATATGGTAACACGATGCTTGTTATATGGCCAGACATTTCATACACGTCCTTTATGATAAAATACATAATCTATATGACAATTTTGCTTATAATGTAATTTTGATAACTATACTACTTTGTTGTTTTTTGTGACGTTTCTGTCATGTTTCGTGGTGTCTGTTGATTTTTCTTTAACGTAAAGTATTGTGTCGTCTATTAAATAAACATGTGTTTGTCATGTTGCTGAAAGTGTGTGTTAGAGTGAACAAATGAGTGGTTTTATTGGGTTTAGATGGGCGGGGTGTTGTATTGTTTTCTAAGATTAGGAGGACGGTTTGGATAAATATCAGTGAGCGACTTCAACACCAACATAACCAACTTTTACAAACGATGTCGATGTTATTTCAACGGCTGTTTTCTGGTAAGGATATGAACACGTACTGGAATACTGCCTCGATTTTTTTTTATCTATACATGTATATAGTTTTTATAATAGAAATATGAAATAATGTTGTACTGGATAAAACAACTTGAATAATGATAGGTGGACAGGACTAATTGTATTGGTTCGGCTTACGAGCATCCAAGTAGTAGCGTTAATTACATATTCTTTATTAATATTTGAACGAAATTGTTTTTAATGAGAGTCGCCAACTAAACACAGAAAACAGCTTATCTAACCAGGGGATTTGTTTCCTATGAGAAAAGGTTAAACAAATCAATAATAAGCAGAGACGATTTAGTACAGTTAAATATGGAAACGAGGATTTTGAAATACAAATTGGTAATGTGGTTAGATTCATTAGTGACACGATATCTAGATTTAAGATTTCTACTGATTCTTCCAGATATACTGTTTATGGTAACGTGACATGCAGACCTTAATGATACTGGTCAAACCGACACTGGATGGATCAGCTATTTCTTGTTAACAAGGTAATACGAGTTTTTCATTTACCCACGACTCCTTCTTTAAAAAGGAGAGTTTAGTAGAATACGGTTTTGTCTAAATTTTTAAACGAAACGATTTCATAAAGGTAAATTTATAAATGTTTAAATCGTAACAAACTATATGAGTAAGTACTGGAATGTTTCACGAGAACTAAGATATATTTATACTTTTCAAAATATATATTATTCATACTTTATATAGAAATCGATATAGGAGTTATAGAACGATTGTCATATGTTTTACCACTAATCACAATAATTTGGTTTCTAACACTTTGGTTTTGACATATATCTCTAGTAAAAATATGAGTAAAAATACCATTAGTATTACTTATAACATATAGGAAAATACCATGTGCTATAATGCCTGGATATTTTATTACTCCATATATCAATACTAAGAGTTCTTGAAAGTTAACATTCATTATATCTGTAAGAACATAATTATTTCTTGTTTAAAGAGAAGGATTTGGTTCCTTTAACAATCAGATTTAGTTAGTATATATGCTGCGGTAGTTTACGTTGTTTGCAGGTGTTTCTCCAACATGTATCTGTTGACGGGCTACTCAAGGAAACCCAAGTATGTGGATATAAAGTTAAAAAAGTGTAAGTGATGTGAACACACAAACTATTGTCATGTTTTCAATTTAAACGTAAGGATATAATAATTTTGTCAGAAATGTAATGATCACCTTGTCGCAGACATGTTTCACACATGTTTGACGTTCTATTCAAATGTTGTTATATTGTTTAACCTAGATACTGACAGGAGGACCAACGTTTATCATATTAACTACATCTACAAGAAATAAACGTAGTCACTACAAATTATGTTTTAGAGTAAAGAAATTCTCTAAGTTGCTATAAACTTGACTTTGCAAGGTTATATTTTGCATACATTTATCCAAGTGTTAAGTTGGGATTGTGAAGTTTAGAAGATGTCATGTTAAATACATCTCACCATTGGGTAGAAAATAAATAATAGATATCTGTCAATGCTTCATTGAAAACGGTGACATACAATGTTTGGAAATTAAGTAAATGAAAAGCAGTATGTATATTATTATTTATTACTCATGCTCATTGTTATTGAAACAAAAAACAAACAACCCGGGATAATATACATTATCAAGTCCCTTTTGATAGAGTTTTGCATATATTTCAAAATGCTTTTCATCTTTTTTCATTTTTCATTGCATCGATAAAAATAAATTGAGTATTTGAGATGCATGGTAATCTAATATAATTGTGTTTTTTCTTGAATTAAGGTGATGATAACAGTTATGTGATCTAGGCAGTAAACCCTTCCGAATAACCAAAGATGTAACACTGCCAGTGATCTTGGCATGAAAAGCGGACTTTTTCAATTACTAAATGTATTAATTGTTGGTATAAACAGCACAAGGATGTCTGTTTCATCAACATTAAAAAGGGAACAGAAATATGACAATTGTATGTAAAATTTAGAACAACATAAATTGATTTATTGTTTATCACAGTGTTACTTGTAATAATATTTGGGATTTTAGTTTTCCTTAACAGCTGAGCTGTCTCGTTTTGTGCAAGATAATATTTACCCCTGAAGGTGTCCGCCATTACTTAATGACGTCATTCAACTAACATCAACTTCCACGACCTACGAGAAACATGTTTGAATACAGTACATCCGCTTAGCATATTAATAAGAAATACTAATACATTCTTCGACGACAAAAATACTACTAAGTAGTGCTAAGCAACAGAGTAAATTACAACAATATTAAGTACAGTTCCACAAGAAAATTCACTAATGTATCCGAATTTGTGTTAACGTAGGTTTTGCTTCCACATATGTCGTGGCTTGGAGTTCGTCGTCCTTCCGTCCGTATACTATATATGGGGAACATCGGGATAGATGTGAAAAACTTCAATATGAATAGAGATATTTCAACAATATTTGGTTAAATGTATCATTGGGTAAAGATGTTTCAATCTTAAATAAACGGATGACATTTTTGGGGGCCTAGGGGAATTTCCCGAAAGCGGGCAGATATTGATACATGTATTAAATCCATCTTCTTTTGTACAAATTGAGGAGTGTTAACCAAAATTAGTCTAGAGTAACCTTTGGCAAGTCTATTTATTTTCTGTATACAATTTTGAGTTCCCTATGAAGTCGTATTTTTGACAAACAAATCGATACATATTTTACCATCTCCCCTATTCCATGATTCCCTAAAATCGAGGTGTCATTTTTAGCTCACCTGCCCGAAGGGAAAGTGAGCTTATGCCGTGGCGCGGCGTCCGTCGTTCGTCATCCGTCCGCGTCAACTTTTTCCTTTAAACAACTTCTTCTGAATTACCAAGAGGCCCAGGCTGATAATATTTGGCCAATAGTATGCTTGGATGTGGGGCTACCAAGTTTGTTCAAATGATTGACATTTGCCCATTTTCAAGGTCACAGGTGTCAAATATCTTAAAATCTTTAAACGTCTACTTCTGAATAATCAGAAGGCCCAGAATGATGATATTTGGCCAAACGTATGCTAGGATGAAGCACTACCAAGTTTATTCAACTTAATTACCTTTACCAATATTCAAGGTCACAGGGGGGGGG